TGGATAAAACACTACATTTTATTTGGTTTTTGGATGCTGTAATTCACATTTGGTTAATTATAACTTGTCTATATCTAGGGGAGCATCCCCTAGCCTCCCCTAGCTACGGCCTTATGAAATATCGAGAAACGAGTACTAAATTGACCAATGGAGTCCATTACTGTACGTCTTTCCTTAGATTATTCTCGATAAGAAAAACAACTTGAAAGTGTTTATGTTTATACATCGGAAGAATGTCAAGTAGAAATTAGTTTGATTTGAATACGTTCGATTTCTCAAAACAGAGGAACAAAACAATTAACTAGTAAGCTACAATCGACAAAATGTTCTGAATATCATTATTATAATTCCTATTACTTATGCTGTGATGAATCACAAGTAAAAACTCATATTTTGCACATTTTGTGTAGAATTTATTCCGCAAAATTTTGAGATAACGTCATTAATTTTTTTGGGGGAAATAAGCAGATTTATTTGGATTCACAGTTTACCATGCTTACAATGACTTTAATGAGTCACCCTGTATAAGAAAATGTACAATATATGAATGCAATGATAAATTACAACCATAGACTCATCATATTTTGTACATTTTAGATAGTATTTATTAAGCAAAATTTTGGATGTCGTCATCAATTTTTTGGAGGGGATGAGTAAATATATTGTGATTAAAATTTTATAATGCTTATCATAACTGTACACTATCTGCAAGATTTCAATGCATTCGGTTTTATAGATTCCAAATTAAATGTCAAAATGTTGTTTCCTATTCGGAGAGATGTGTAAGACTGTTATTTGATACAATTTAAAATCCAATTACTGTGTACAATTTCAAAAAAGAAAACTGTGTTAAAGAACAGACCCAAAGGACAGGAAATATATATTAACCCAGATTACACTGTGAAAGAAAGGATAATTCAAAAGAAAATACGAGAGTTTGCAAAGAAGGAGAGAGAACACGGAATCTCTGTGAAAGTTAAATTTCAAAAAGTTGAAGTAGAAGGGAAATTATGGAAGTGGAGCAAAAAAGACGATAAACTTATAGAAGATAAGATAAGAGAAGACTCAAAAAACTAGCAGAAATTGAAAAGGAAGGAACGATGATGACATTTGCTACGGAAAAGGAATATGAACAAGAAAAAGAAAAGGGAAGAAAAAAGAAAATCGAACAAAGAAAGAAATCAGGAGAAACTGAAAATACAAAAGAAACCTTGGACGAAGAAAAGGATAGAATAAGTATTATTTTTTGGAACATATGTGGGTTGAAGAAAAAAGATAAAGACTTTTGGGATTATATAAGGAAATTCGAGGTGGTGGGCTTGGTTGAGACTTGGGTAGAAGAAAAAAACTGGGAAAATACTAGAAATAAATTGCCAAAAGAATATAGATGGAAATCCGAACATGCGAAAAGAAGCAAGAAGAGGGGAAGAGCAAAGGGTGGAATAATAACAGGCATTAAGGAAGATGTAGAAGAAATAGAGGAAGAGAGAATTAAATCAGTTGAAGGAATACAAGAGAGAAGAATTAAAATAGGGGACAATAGTTGGAGGATAATGACAGTATACAGTCAGAACGTAAAAAAGACCAGTAGAGATTTAGATGAAATAAATTATGAAATAGATGAAAAATATTGCTTGGTGGTAGGCGGGGATTTCAATGCTAGAATTGGAAACAAGGGAGCTGAATGGGAGTGGGACAAGGAAAAGGATGAGGGAAAAAGGAAATCAAAAGACCGAACAGAGAACAAAGAAGGAAAGAAACTGTTGGAGTTGGTAGAGGAAAAGGGATGGAAAATACTGAATGGGAATACAGAAGGTGACAAAGAGGGTGAATACACATATATAGGGGGGCAAGGGAGATCAGTTATAGATTATGTTATCTGTAATGAAATAGCGGACCATGGCATCAGAGATATGGAGGTTGGAATAAGGAGCGACTCAGATCACCTACCAACAATTACACAGGTGGAAAAAACTAAGAAGGAAGAGTTAGAGAACAGAAGAGAAAAAGAGATATACGAATGGAATGAGAAGTCGATTGAAGAATATAGAAGAAAACTGAGAGAGTACAATACAGGAGGAGGAACAGTGGAAGAGATGGCCAGAAAACTAAAAGTAGAGATGGGGAAGGCATCTCGTAAGAAGGTTATCAAAATGGGAGGAATAGAAAAGAGGGGAATTTCATGGTGGGACGAAGAATGCTGGCAGAAGAAAATAGAAGTAAGAAGGAAATTGAGACGATGGCTAAAGAACAGAGGTAATGAAAAGGAATATAGAAAAGAAATTAAGGACTATAAGAAATTAATAAAAGAGAAGAAAGCAAAGAAACAGGATGAAGAAGACCAGAAATTAAAGGATATAAGAACGGAAGCGGAAGCATGGAAATATATAAACCAAGAAAGGAAGATAAAAACGGGACCAAGTAAGAACATCAAGATAGAAGAATGGCGGGAATATTTTATAAGAATTTTAGAAGGCGCAGAAACTAACGAAGAACAGAAGACAGAAGTAAATAGACAGGAAACAGGCACAATAGAAGAAAGGGAAGAAATAGGGAAGGAAGAGGTGATAAGAGTAATAGGGAAAATGAAGAAAGGAAAAGCTGCAGGAATAGACGGCATTCAGAACGAACACTGGATTTACGCAACAGAGAATATAGTTGAGGGACTCACGAAAATGTTAGATAAGATCTGGAAAGGAGAAGGGTTACCAGAAGAATGGAGAGTGGGGTTAATCAGTCCCCTGCACAAGAAAGGAAACAGAGAAAAAGTAGAAAACTATAGAGGAATTACGTTGTTGAATACAACTTACAAGATCTACAGTTCCATTTTACAACATAAGTTGGAAAGGGATATAGAGGAAAAACAACTGCTACCAGAGGTGCAAATGGGATTTAGAAAGGGAAGAGGAACAATCGAATGCATAGCGACCCTGGATCACATAGTAAGGAGGGAATTAAACGAAAAAGGAGGAAAGGTATACGCGCTCTTTGTAGATTTGAAAGCGGCTTTTGATATGGTTAATAGGGAAAGACTATGGCAGATAATGAAAGACATGGGGCATCAGTAAAACACTAATAGAGAGAATTAGAGAAATCTACAGAGAGACAGAAAATAGAATCAGAGTTAATGGAGAAACGTCGATGAATTTCTGGACGAAGAAAGGAGTTAGGCAAGGATGTCCATTAAGTCCAACGCTCTTTTCCTTGTATATAGCAAAATTAGAAGAAAATCTTAGGAAGGCACAGATGGGAGGGGTCACTTTAGGGAAAACAAAAATCTGGTCACTACAGTATGCAGACGATATCGTCCTACTGGCAAAAACGGGTAAAGAAATAAGAGAGATGATGAAAACCCTACAAACATTTTTAAGAAGGAGAGAACTGCAAATGAATGTAGAAAAAACGAAAATGATGGTTTTCAGAAAGGCGGTAGGGAGAAGTAAGAAAGAGGTTTGGCAATGGGAAGAAAAGACGATAGAAGAAGTAGCGACGTTTAAATATTTAGGGTATACATTTCAAAGAAATGGAAGAAGAACCCAACATTTGGAAAATACAGTAAAGAAGGCAAATAGATTGTTGAAGGCGGTATGGGGACTGGCAGAGAGAAGGTTGAAGAACGATTTCGTTAGAAGAATATGGCTCTTCGACAGCTTAATAAAAAGTGTTATTATGTACGGTGCTGAAATCTGGGGATGGAAGGAAAGGGAGAGTCTAGAACGAGTACAGGCAAAGTATTTGAAATGGACGTTAGGGTTGGAAAAAGAGACACCAGAGTACATTGTATTAGAGGAAACGAAGAGAGAAAAACTAAGAATAGAAGCAGTACGAAGGGCAATGAAATTTGAAGAGAAGATCAGGCAGAACGTTGAATGCAAAATAATGAAAGAAATGTGGGAAGAGATAAGGGTAAATTATAAGAAGACAGCGGAAGAAAGAAGAGAATTTTACGAAGTAAGAGGTCTAACGGCAGAAGAAGTAGAGAGAAAAAGGATAGAGGGAGCAGAGCCCAGGAAGGAAATTTTAAATCTAGATGAAGAGTTACAAAGAAAAGAGCAAAGGAAAAAAATAGCAGAGTCCAGATATAATACAAAATATGGAGAAATAATAGGAGGTCTAAAATTACCGGAGTATCTAATAAGAGGGAGAAAGAATGAAGACAGAAAGACAATAGCCAGATTTAGGGTGGGAAATGAAGAAGGAGAAAACTGTTACTGGAAAGAGGAAGAGGAGAGAAGATGCGGATTATGCAGGGAATTTCCGGAGACGATTGAACACTGGCTAAAGGATTGTGAAGAGTTACGGGAAGTCGAGAAAGATAGGAATGAGCTATTGAACGAAACAGGTGATGGTCTGGAATGGATGAAAATGATATTAGAAAAGAAACGAAAATAAGGAAGCATTTCGAGAAAGAATATTAGTTTAAGTTAAAATATGTTTAATTGATATATATTTGTACATATATAGATATATTAAGGGAAAAATGTAAACCGGACTTCTTTCAAGTCCCGAATGGGAAAGAAATAAACAGTTACATACATACATACATACATACATACATACTGTGTACAATTTTGAAGTGACGTCGTCACATTAATGGTGGGGATGATTAGACAAATTTTGGTTAGCGTTTTACCATCTACATGATATACCTAATATAAATACAAAATTTGACAACAATCGACCCAGTACTTTCGGAGATTATCTGACCAATAAAAATCCGGGACGGCAGACAGACATACAGACGGACAGACGTATCTTGACATGAATTTCTGTGGTGGGTACAAGATATGCTGTCAGTTTGCTTTACTATTTCTAGTGGCTCCAAACCTACTTTGTGAGTTACTTAGAAATCAGCTGAAAAGACGTCAATAACTAGTTTTATATAAAATTATATATTTAAGCAACTCAACGCAGAGCAAAAAAGTGAACCTTCCTTATATCTCAGTTCGCATATTGTGTGCGGATAGCGTAATGAAAAAATTAACTCTAAACCGACTTACCTTTTCTATAACACAGACCAAATCTATAACACTTCCGACATCCACGTGATGTTCTCCCGACCGTGTCCCTTGGATGGTAGCCTCCGGTACGACGATTTGTAAGTTGACGAAGTGCGATATAAGACCAGCGTTTGTAGATACCTAAAAAACGAAGAATTGTAACAGATGGAAACTATAAACACAATTAAAGCAAATGCTACAGATGAATAATTATCAAGTCAATTATTCCCAGTTGGTGGCGCGCTTCTAAAATTTATGAAACCTGAAATTTCATGAATAATTCTCCGCGAATTAATTGGAGACGAACGTTGGCGCCACACACTGTCTGTTTGTTTTCCTCAGAATGTTTGTGTGCTGCGTTACGATTTAACCCTTTAGCTGTGCAGGTCAGCACTGGGCAATTGAATTTAATGCAATTCTCGACAACAATCAACTCACGTGTCGAACTCCAGTCTGATTGGTCTCTAAACCCTGTGCAAGAGGACGAGACCGGAAAGACAACGCCTTACCGCCACTTAGATCGACTACGTGTTCCTTTCACGGACTTTTGACTCTTCGGATACACACAGGACTTGTTTAGAATTAAATAGAATTTGTGTTGCGGTTGGGATGGATATAAATTTGGCGTAATTAAATTTACCCATAATACGCTTTGAACCGAAGATTCGTATCGCTTCATCTTGGTTTGTGGAGCAGGCGAAAGTGCGAATGTATTATTAGATGTCTGATGAAAATAAGTAGATAATAATATAAGAGAAGACGTAGAGTCGTTGGAGCACTAACCTTCATAATAATTATTTCCCTTAATATCATTATTGCACGGGGACTATAAAACTTGGGAGAGCACGAGCTTCCACGAAAAATCATGGTTCATGGAAATTGGCTCGAGAGAAAGAATAAAAGCCGAAATTGCTAAAGATTAAAGACTCAACGAGTTTTTCAAAGTTGCACATTTCATTCACAATTGCTGCATAACAGTCATACTTTTAACTGTAAATAAAGGGAGAATAATAATAATAGTTCTCAGTTAGTTTCGATATTAGTTATCTCTTTCTGGCTGAACAGAAAAAAATCTTGATAAACTCTGTGATTATATGATTAAAGATTAAAATTTCATGGTAACGTAAATGTGTATTTGTGTAAATAATTTTAATATATTTTTTATTTATTATCTCGTTTATTATTGAGGTTTTGTTCATTGTCAAGCTTTGAATAATGCGTGGGTGTGGAAGATAATTATATTATTGTTGCGTTATTGATTGGCACACACATATTTGATAACATGTCAGTTGTTATTCTGGTTTTCGTTCGGATGAATAAGTAATGAAATAGCTGGTCGAATTTTAATTAAAGGGACGACGCGACGGTTAAATATCGTTTCGCTTTTATTATTCGGATGCTTGCGCATTAAAGATGAATTAACAAAAAGTAAAATTTATTTTATTATGAAGGTAATATGGAAGAAGTTTAGTTAATGTGCGCGACTAAAAAAATAAAGTAAAAAATAAGGCGGATCTATAAACCACGGGTAGAGAAATATGTTATTTTATAAAATTTAAAAAGGATTTACTTAGTAAACATTTTGAGAAACGTCACCAAATTGTTGGTGAGGGTGATTAGACAAATTTTGGTCAGCATTTTGCCATCTATAAGATATTCTTAAAATGCATCTAAAATATCACAACAGTCAGTTTCGGAGATTATCTGTATAATAAAATCGTCAACAGACGACACAAATGGAAGCTGCTTTTCCAAACTCTAGGAGATTATGAAACATGAAAGTAGTCGTTCGCCGAATGGACCTTTGGAATGGACTCTTGGGAAGTAAAATGGAATAGTCTAATTTGATTGATTTTCTATAAATATTGGAACCCATTGTAAAAAATGAGTTTTTCACAACCTGTCAATGTACTTATCTGTCTACAGTAGCTTAATGAGACAAAAAGTTACTAAATTTTGTGAATGTCATAGATAAATTCGTTATTATTTCTGACAGTATGGGTTACCTGTCGTGTAAAAAGTAATCACTCAGCCGTAAAAATTATTGTGCTTTTATTTTCCATCCATGTCCATTTCAGGTTCAGTTGACAGCGTATAGTCTGTAATCAATGCATTTTATATGAGAGATTTGAGAGTGCTGCAAATTCATGGTGGAATTTTTGTCATCGGATATTTATAAAATTTAATCGAAGCATTCTTCAACATAATCAAATTATAAATTTTCCCTTAGTTACCTTTGGGGAAGTTAAAATACGTTCATAATATCGAATAATCGAAAGCCGAGCGGTATAGCCATCAATGCCTTTGTTATTTAACCGTTCAGTTCTGGTTTTCAACGTTTTTTAAGGAAATGTAAGTTGGTGTTGTTACACTATATTTTGTGGTTGATAGTGGAAGAAAGTATTCGAATTATATATCAACATCAAAGGCAACATCTGAATAAAAAACTGAAACTATTAGGCATACAAGAACACATAGGTAATCTTGGTTACCAATTAAAGGAGTTAATAATGAAAATTATAATTATTGAAAACTATAGAAAAATAATAAGTGGATTGTGTTGAAGAAACTGCTTTTTACAGTATCTCATTTCCGACAAAAAGTCGCCATAGTTTTTGATACGATTTATAAAGTTTTGTAAGCTGAAAACAGTGGTGAAAACCGCACTCCGAAATTTCCTTAAATAATAATTGATTTTCGAAAAATTTCACCAAAATTTTAAAAAGATGATAATAAACTGTAAAAAAGCTGTGGACAGGTTATATTTAAAATTTTATAACAATAAGTCTGTTAATAATGGATATATTACATTCTGAAGAACTGAAAATCTCATGCAGCAAATGTAGCGACTGACCTTAAAAAGATAGTAAATATCAAACACTGTTATGAAATTGTATTTTTGGTTGCATTTTTCGACGAGAAACTTATCGTGAATGACCTGTACATGCTCGAATGAATATTGTTGAAAAATTCGAGAAGATTGGTAAAAAAACATTGCCACACATTAATAAACCACTCGCGGAAACACCATTTTCTTCTCAATTACACATTGCAAACAAAATTTTCGTATTCAGCCTCAAAATTACTTTTCGATTCAATTTTTTGTGTATGTTGATTTTTGCCCTTTTATATTTGAATACATTTTTTTGCCGGTTAGGGTGAGGGTTAACATTAAAACGGCAATTTCCTGTAGCCCTGTAAAAGCACGAAAGGAGCTAGAATGAATAAATATAAAGCATGGAAAACTTACAAACTATTTTCCTTGCCTCTGAAGCACATCGTCTGCATATCTTAGTTAAATGGTCAATTTTTTGAATAAATACGATAATTTTGAAGTGCTCAATTTATTAATTTTTTTATACATATACTGGAAACAGTTAGTCCTCAAGAAACAAAGACCGTCTTTAAACATGCACTTTTTAAATTATTACTAGTTAAACATCGTTTGTTGAGATGAAATTGTCGAGTTTTTGGAGAAAATAGGAAATTAACAAATTTTGATATGTTGAGGTCTGTTCTATACAAGTTTGCTCGATTTTGCTGGTATTTTATAAGGCTAAATTGGTGAATATTTACTGCGCTGAAATTAATTTATTTACTCATATGTAAAAGTGCCGATCTAGTGAAAAAATTGCTGTAATTAACTTACTCCTGTTTTCTTATGGACTCGAACAATTATAACTAGTGGCCGTGAGTTAGACAGGTTATGCAAAGATGCGAAACTTGACGAAACCATTATAACTTGTTGATTGTTACTGTAGAATTTGTTTACGTAACGGCCTTTGTCGGACCTTGGAGGTGTTTTACCTATGTTTACTGAAATTAAACTCGTTTTCATGCTATACAGTCGTTAACTTTCTGCCAACTATAATATTAGAACATTTTCACCATTTGCCGGTAGAGTTGCAAAAAATGTCAGTAGTGATCTATCGTTTTTGAAAATTAAGGATCTTGATTACAATATAATTCTTGCTTCCCAAGTGTTCGCTAAGGAGGTATTGTGATAGAATCCATGGTATTATCTAATTTCATGTCACCATTTATGTCTCCTAAATTATGAAAGAGTAGATTAGCCTGTATTCGTTGCCTCCCTCTCTCTGTTTGTCCGTTGATGATTTTATTAGATAAGTAATCTTAGAAAGTACTGGATACATTACTATGTAGATGGTATCTTCCAATCTTTATATTTGAACTATGCAAAATAATATGCTTCTATAACTGTTATTTATTAATACATCATAATTTTTTACCTATGCCTAGATTTTTGGAAAAAAAAATTCATAATTGCACATCTCACTTGACACGGCTTGAGCAACATGCGTTTATAAACGTAGGTTCTTATTTCGCGTTATTTAAGTGATGGGGCTTCAAGGGCAGGGGAAGTTCTGTTTAAATACATGTAGATTTTTTTTATATTTTAGAGAAGTTTCTAAACCTCGAATCCCTTGAAATTTAGTTGATACTGTAAATAATATAATTCTTCCAGTGTATATTTATGAGATTTTATTGTTTGAAAATAAACATACCAATGTCGATGTCCTAGTCTGTTATAATATAAGCGATGAAATTCTCGTTAATAAAGTATTTCGTGCTTCCCTCGCTGGAATTATGCATAGCGTAATAAAAGCTTTAAATTACAGACGCGAAAAGAATTGCGATATTTTCCTTTTAATGCGTCTAAATTTATATTCCTTCGACTATACATTACGCCTTAGAAAATTTATTTCGGGAATAAATTAAATTTTCACGTGGAAATGAATTTGAAAGGAAGAATACCGTTTTATGTATGACCGATGTTATTATCATCATCGCCTTCGTTTAATATTTAAGGCCGTATTGTTTTAAATTTATCTTTCCCATTTTACGACTCTACAATTTATTTCCATTTAGCAAGTTCTTTATTATCAAAGCAGAATCTTCTTGGAATCAGAAATTCCTCCGTTAGATAACACTCTATCAATTAATGATAGCTTGTTTGTGATGTTATGTCGCAAATACGTGATTAAGTAACACTAATTGCCAATTATTGATAATCATGATATATGCCAAGTTTCCATTCTCTTGCATTATTCCGGTCAATCATATCATTAGTTATGCCCTATTATCTTCCCTTCAGTCTGCCCGTTACGGATCGATGGAATTCTGTTGGGTAACATTTTTTCGTTAGCCAGCTCGTTTCGATAAATTATGCAGCAATTGGCAATAAATTTAAAAACTGTGAGCTTTGCGTTTTCGATGCAACGGGATGATACAACAAAGTCGGTGTCATTATTTATGGCAAAGGTGATTCTAAGATGAGAAGGATGGTTTCAGTAGCTCGCTGAAACTAATTACGTCTTATTCAGACATGGTACTCCAGGAGAAGTGGCTAGTAAAATTGCAATAAAATCTCGAAATCGACAACAAGGAGAGCAAGCAAGCGAGATACTGAATGAAATAAGTTTTGAGTCAGAGTGTTTACATCCTCTCCTTTTTTTTGGAGAGTTTCTGACCAATGTAGTGCGGAGTTCGTAATTATATCCTTGATGAACTTACTTGGCATTCGTATGTTCCATTATCCCTCTTCTGGACGAACTTAATTTGAAGAGTCCAATCGTCTGAACCTTCCGCGTGCAGAATTTGAAATCTCTCGTCGTTTGTGTAGGTAAACAGTCCTGAAGAAAGGATGTGCCAGTCTCTCCTTCTCACCCACGACACTTGCTGTAAAAAAATTATTAATATATCTAGCTAGCTATAAAAAAGCGTTTCTTCCTAACAAGATTTTAATAAAGTGAAAAGATGGAAAATGTTATGTCGTGAATATTGGAGCTATTTTTTATGGGAATTCAATTTCTTTTGTAATAACTCTGGAGAGAAATTTGTTACATAATAAATGCCCTGTCGAAGATGTCTTCATATCGGGTGGTGAATGTGTCTGCTAGATCTGCTCTGGCCATAAAAGCTTTTATGTAAGTATCGAGTTAATTAATATATCGAGACTGGAAAACGCTTTTGGGTAATAACGTTAATTTCATAATATGTCTCGTAAGTCGTTTATGTTCACTCTATAACTTTTAACAAAGGCGGTTTACGACGACCATTTTACGCTCAACTGACTTTAGGGTGTCACATGAATGACGAGAAGGTTACAAATACTGCTTATTGAGAATCCCTCTCGTTTTTGAAAGGTATGTAATTTAACTGACGATTAACATTTAAATAATTAAAAATATATTACCTAAATTAATTCTTACAATATGCTGTTTTTGTAAAATCAGAAAGTGTATTTGGAATTTGGTTGAAAAATTTGTGTTACACATTGAAAATATGCAAGAATTTGATAAACAAAAACCTGAGCTATATCAATTGTACAAAAATCTAGAAGTGTGTAATTAACTAATTAGAAAAGAAACATGAAAAACCTTTATTATCATTTATCACTTTTTAAAGTCAGTAGAAGAATTAGGGAATCTGTTGAAAAACCTTAGTCACACTGTACGTGATATAGCAAATCAAAATTTTCAATAATTCTTAAGTTATTCAAAAAAGAGGTTTTGCCATGAACTACATTCTAAGGTCTAGGGAATAACTAATGGCCAGCTCACAAGTCAATCCACTTATGTGTTTATAAAAAGTGGCGAACAAATAAAATTACTGTTACCGCATTTCTTCTTGTAAAAAAGATTACTCCCTTCGCTAGCATTTAGACAAATTGTTTGTATCGAAGCAGCAAATCCACTTATTGGAAATTGGTCTCCCGAGTGGTAAACACAAGTGTGAGTTAGTTGGCGCGTCGGATCCATAAATTTGATTTTGCGGTTTGAAAGTGGTGTATGTTATTATTGACCTTTTTCAGAGCGTATCCGAGCCTATTAATTAGACGGAATTAATGTGTTGAATTAACAGAGTGCGGTTTATAACCGAGTTTCATTTACTGTTATAGTATGTATCATGTAGCTACATTTTAAGTGTTATTACCTCGGCTCCGGCGAGTGCCCTATCTCCTGTACTTCTCACATGGCAGTGCAGATACGCCGTGGCTCCCAGTTGCACCGTTACGTTTGTAATGGTGTTGTTTTCAGCCCCTGCCATTGCCTCCGCTCTGCTGAAGTCTTCGAAGTTGGGGTACCACAGCTGGCGCCAGTCCGAATATTTCTGCAGGTCTCTCCGTTCTGCAACAATAAGTTTTTTATTGTCCCTTAAACGATCGTAAAACTCGGAGGGTTGAGGATCTGACTGGAGGTCTCTCCTATAAAGGAAACTTGAGACAACTTAAAAATCCATTTGCCACGGCATAAATACATATGGTCGAAACATTCATTCTGAAGCGAAATCGCTCAGTTGCAAGACCTAAACTTTGATATGCCAGTTGCGTTTTCGTTTTGCAAAGTGCAAATGTCAAAGGCTGATGGCTCGTAAAGAAACACTACATACCACTAAGAACGTCAATTTTTCAACAGTTTCGTTTATAAAAGTTAGCATATATGCTTACTGTAAAATTCTGCTTTCTGTAGTGTGATAATAGGATTAAGTGATGAGATTTAGGGTCAACACTAATACTTAATATCTTTGGATTATTAGGTCTAACAACTATAAGACCTACTTATTCTAGTTACCATATTGCGTCGTTTTAAACTTTTATGTATGTATCCTTTTCCTAAAATAAAAATCTTTAGCTACATTTGTATTAACAATGTAATGTATGTAGTGAAATTTTGATAATGTTCGTATTTGATTGACTTAAAAATCCTTAATAACACAATTTTAATACATTAGAATAATTTCAAGTTAGACAAATAACGGTTCTGATGGTTCGTTTCTTAGTCAATCTGTTGATCTTCCTTAGTTTGGAAAGATAATGGGTTACACATAGTTGTTTCAAGTTAACTTGTTGATATCAGTTCCAAGATAATTAAATTACATATATCAAATTTATAATGCCTCTTTTATACCTCCTGTGCGAAGAGTTGTCGTTATCTGTGTATTAGACTGTAGATAGTAAGACCACTGGAGTGAATTTTAAGTGGTAAAATATAATAGTAATAATTTCAAATTTTCAGTTCGGTGTTAATTATCAAGACAGTTTCAAACATCAAACACTGTTGTACAAGTTAATTCGATACAAAACAGTATGTTAGTATTAGGCTAGAACGAATCTTATTAGAGTTTAATTCACTGTCCCCTAATGTGTCCCTCACTATTGAAAGGAAAAATGTGTTTCACAGGGTTAGTAATGCCTGATCACGTTAATGGGGTCTTTTCGTTGACGTTTGCTAGACAAAAACGGCCAATGCATTAGGCTAAGCCTTTTCCGGTGTCTAGGACGAGTCCGATTAAAAGCTATCCTAGAAACACGAGATTGGATAGCTTCCAGTAAATTAATGTTGTGTTTCAAAACTGTCGTACAGATACACTGTACACGGACTCACAATGCTTCCGACATAGCTTTATATTCGAGGACAATTGCACTCTTATTAACACTGGAAAAAGTTTTGCTTAATATATACACTAATGTGTTTGGCTTTTTTGTGGCAAAAAGACCAAGAAACATCCCTATAGGTTTCTGATTCGACAAATTTGTTACCATCAAGGTAGTGACTTCCATGCAGGCCATTTTAAGTTGTTTAAGGGAAGTAGTAACGAGCTTTGAGAGCATCTTCAGTGCTTTAATTTCATTGGCTAACGTGAACAGGTTAAATACTTTTGGAATTGTAGACTTTTATATCGTTAGTACACATCGCGCATTGCAATTCTATTTTACTTTGTGCAATACTTTTGACCGAAAACTAAAAAAACCGTCAATTCTAACTGTAAATGTACGATTGGTGAGAAATCAGTCCATTCACCGGAGAAGGTTTCCTCGCGTTCCGTAAGGATTTAGCTTAATTAAGAGGCGCCCCCCAGTCGAAAACTTTGGAAAAAATCTAGCCATGCGAACTCGACAGTGTGACCTGAATTAAGTGCCTTGGTCGAGTTGAACGACAGCTGAGAACGTTGCGGTTAACAGATTTACTCTGTGAAACCCCCGCTGTTTAAGAAGTATTGTGAGGTGATTTGATTGACAAGAACTGTGTCCAGTCTGGACTTGAGGTTCCCGTTTCTAAATTTAGTATGCGAAATAATCAGCATCGATTAGAATCTTTTTAGAATAGTAACTTTTTTAAAAGTTCTAAGATCACCGACTTTAGTTGTCTTAGGAATTGATTTTCAAGATCAACCCGGTTGTTGTGATTACATGTTTCATTTTCGTATTTAATTCTTGCAGAGGGTTTAAACTAATTTTAATTAATTAATCGGTGCAGTAATTTCGGAGATTATTATCTGTTTAATAAAAATCAACACAGACGATAGACGGCAGACAGACAGACGGAAACGGGAGACTTGTGTTTTGCAATTTGGTAGACGTTTTTCTATGACAATGAAGTGGGCCGGCTCATAGAGAGTATAGTGTAATTATTATTATCAAACTTGTATTATACAGCTTACACAACATTTGGTCATTAATAGAGTGAAACACCCTTCGGAAGCTTACAAATGTCACGAACAGCTTATCATCTTTATTTCGTACCCCAGTCTGTGTAGGGCTTAATAAGGTGAAAATGTTGTCATCACAACGTCTTCCTTTAGGAAAGCCTGCCTGAGGGTTGGTAGGACTGAATAATCGTTGGCTCAGGTGCACAAACGTGCTAAGAGAACAGAAGTGAGCAGTGTCCTTATGATATTAATTAGAGCAATCTATGTCTGTTTGACGGGCGGCAAAACAATATTTGCTTTTATATATGTACGTTGTTAATAAAAAATAAGGTATGAAGTATTAATCATGACCTAATAGATTTTCGATTAGAATCTTGAACTTAAATTTATTCCTGTAATAATTCCTTAATAGTTGGGGGAACTCTTTATCGCACTTTGATAATATCAGCTGTTTTGTTATTCATTGTAATTACTACTGTTGTTCATCATCCTTTTTATTCCTTTAATTCTTAACCACATGTCATTATGCTACTAAATTTTGTATTTATGAAAATCTACCCCAATTTTCTCCTATTCATTTCTGTTTCTAGCGCAGCTTGTAATTTCTCTAATTTTACGTAGTTAAGTAATATTTTCTTGGAAACGTTACACCAAAACATAAACTTCTGTGACAAATTCCTAAGAATGTATTGTATCGAACCAACTGCATATAACTTTTGCTTTAAACATTATATTATTTCGATCTCAATTGATGCCTAGAATGAGAAATCAAAGCGCAAGTTAACATTTTGCTTTTTACATGACTGAAGTTTTTGTACGAAAATTGAAAGAACTTTTTTAATATAATAAAATGTAAATTATCTTTCGCCAAGTTCTTTTATAAAAAATAAATGTAGGGTATTTTCAACGCAAAGCTGGCTGTAACAATCAAATTTTTTTCTTAATCCTACGAGTTGTTTTGCCACTGTTTGTTTTGAGAACAAACTCACTTTTTTATGGGTTTGAGCTTTTAAGGGTATTGTTGTAAAAAAGATCTCCGAATGAATGAAAAATAAATATTGACACAATTTGAATAAAATGTTACCTCTAATATGCTTTATAGGATTTTTTCATTTCTTTGTGAGCCGGCTGATCTACATTTAAAGAATAAATTTTTAATTTCAGAATAAAAATTTACTGCTCCTATAATTTTCTTAGACTGATTGGTTTAGATAATACATAGATAAGTTTTCTTCGTTCTTTTTCTTCCGGTAATATGCATTATTATAACAAGTTTTGTATTTTCTGCTTCTAAAGATAAGACTTTTCTCGAATGTGCGCGTTGAAGTGAACACCCGAATATATATCAATAACTTTCAGACTCCTTGTCACATTGTGTTGTAAGATGATATCGAACTTCTCACTGTTTGCCAACAAAGGCAAGATAATCTCTAGATACTTTAGATGCGATTGTAGAGTTTTATTTCATCTGAAAGAACGACCGCGGCCTTTATTCTCTTCTTTATTTCTCTTTCTGTGCACTTGCATTCAATGTTTTTAATTACATCAAAATTTAATAAACCGTTATTCTTTGTACCGATATCAGCAGCATAAAAGTAATTGATTCAAATACAAATTTAATTAAACTAATCTCTTTTTCAACGTGCGGGATTAACTGCAGCCTTTTATGCGATCCTGCAGCGTTTGCACTGTGGTAATTAAAAATGTACGGTTCGTGATGATAAGCACTTGCAAGCGTGTTATAAATTGCAAAAACTCCCGAATTAAACAAAAACACCCCTGTATTATTTATTTTTATTTTAACAGCTGCCGCTTTTACTACAGTTAGCAAACTGTAACAAATGTAGCCAATTCAGGCTTGTTTTACACACGGCGACAGTTAACACTGCTGACATTTGCGCGAAGTGATGAAAAAGTAATTTTAACGTTATGATTTTGAACCCGGAAAGGGAAGAGAGGCGGATAATTTTTATTTTACTTTAGTGGCATTTCCAACGGGTCGAGTTTTGCGGCGCTAATCATTTAATATGTTTTGTGCGGTTTTCTGGAAATTGGTGAATTCTGGGCCTGTAAGGGAGAAAACACATTTTGCTAATGTTTGTTTCTTTGGGCTTTGTAAATGACAAATAAAACTTAACAATGTTTTAAATCGATTAGTTGGTGGATTTAATTGTCAAAACGGAAATAAATTAACATCCACCACGACAAAGTTTTAATTAAAAAACTACTTTCAACTTTTATTACTAACAGAGATCTCGCTACTGGACTCCTCTGTAGTGTTGGTTCTAATGAGTACCATAGTTCTAAATCTTGCAGTAATTTGAGATTAGAAGGGAACAAGTTCAGAAATGTCTAAAGAGGTCAATTTTGTATACGAATAAATTAATTGGTGAAATAATCGAAATAATCAATAATAAAACCAAACACCAGCAATTTTAGACTAACTTTTTAAGGAAACATATTAATAGATATTTTTATACAATATTTGTAATTAGCTCTGAAGCACCTGTAAATTACCATCAAATGCCCTATTTTGCAGTTAAAGAGATATTATCTGAAAACAAGTCATACTCATAACATTACTTTATTCCACCTCACGTAAAAGTTCTGTAGTTATTTACTTCCCATTATTCGTGCAATAAAAATAAATATACTTCGAACAGCGAAACACCCAAATCTCTAGTGTCAGAGAATTCCG